GGTCTTCCAAGAGTAATTATTGCTGCTGCGTGGTGCGGCAAGGTTGGAGGTGCGTGCGACGGTTGCTCAGTGAATGGATCAAGAGTAAGGGTGAGTCCAGTGAGAAGATGACGGTCATGGAAGATTTAATTTGGTGCAAACATGGCAAGGGTTTGCGGTCGTCCAACAAATCCATCAAATAAATTTCCCTATTTCAGAGATTTCATGGCATCAATATGGAGGCCAGCCAGGGACGTTTCGATAAAAGAGAGGAAAAATTGATTATTTTAGAATATTCTCAATTTTAGGGACTTTCCGCTAATAATGATCTGATGTGACCAGCTACAAATACATTTTTGTAGTTTCTAAAGTGGATAAGAAGAGATATACTTCCTTCGTTCTTAAATAAATGCAACCGTCAACATTTCACATTTGCCGAGGCACAACTTTGACCATTAATATATATATTTCTTGATTAGTACAAAAATTAAAAAAAAATAGATTTTGAAAATTTACAATGAGACAAATTGAACAATATTTTTTTCAAAAATATATATTAATATATTAATAAATAAAACGTAGTCAAAGTAGAACATATGAATAGTGTTAAAGTCAAAGTGTTGCATTTATTTAAGAACGAAGGTAGTAACAAGTAATCCCTATAAATAATCTCAACTTTTAATTTTATGCTTAATTTATATTTAAAATTCACTTGTCATAGGATGTAATATCTAGTCATTGACCATTATTAGCGGACGGTCTATAAAGTTGGGATTATACAAAAATAACCAATAGTTGGGATTATTGTTAGCGGACCGGTAATAGTTGGGATTATTATTTTCAATTTTTCCTAAAAGAGATTGGGGAGAAAAAGTATATTTTTACTTTCTTTCATGAGGTTGATATGAAACGCGCCCTTGAGAATGGCTCGTAACTTTTTGAACAAATTTGTTAAAGCATCTCCAATGCTACAATGTGCACAGTGCACACGTGGCATAAGTGATAGCCACATAAATATTAGTAAATAAATTTTTTCTCTCCTTATTTAAACGATTTTTTTCAATTTTGGTAAGTTTTTCTCCACAATGTCAAGGAGACCGTCTAAATGTTGACATTGCAGTCGACATTGCAGAGAAAAATTTACCATAATTGTATAAAATCATTCTAATAAGGAGAGTGATAATTTATTTGATAATATTTGTGTGGTTATCACTCATGCCACATATGCATTTTGCACATTTTAGCATTGGAGATGCTCTTAGTCTGCATGCTTAACAGGATGGTGAATTGCCTCAGTCAGTTCCGCTTAATCAGGCTAATTTTTGGATTCATGTGTTTAATTTATCTATGAGTTCTTTACTGTGAAAATTGCAAAAATAATTGGGAACTCATTGAGTAAATTGATAGATGCTAAGGAAAAACAGTTTGAGGAGATCTGGAGGCCATAGATTGGTTGAAAGTTTGTCTGGATATAAATACGTCTCTGTACAGGAAATTAAAACTGGGTAAAGATGAGAGAGAATGTTTTTGGGTGGACCTTAGATATGAGAAACTTCCAAATTTCTACTTTGTGTGTGGTCATGTTGGACATTCAGATCATTTTTGTATTATGAAGTACAATAAGGGAGTTCGGGAATTGATTAAACCTTATGGTCCATGATTGCGAGTTTCGGGTGTTAGAGGTATGGGAATGGGGGGAAAGAAATGGTTGGTTCAGGCGGACAAGGTGGGAGGGGGATAGGTACAAGGGATGGGTCTGTGGAAGATTGCATGTGATGGGGAATTCTCATGAAGAAGATTTAGCAATGGTCCTGATGCAAGGAGATTAGGAGAAGTTTCTAAGAGTTCGGAGGGGGCTATAGTTGCTAGTCGGGTATAGGAGTCCAAGAGGAGAAGACTGTTGGACTTCCATGAGCAGGATGGTCAGGAAGCGGGTGCAATTGTGATTGATGGAGCAAAAAACATGGAGGAGACGGGTCTAGATTTCTAGACTCGCCCAGCACTTGTTCTCTGATAAGATCCATCACATTTAAGTTTGAAATATCTCGGTTTCAGTGAAATTCACTTAATAGACTTGGCAACTTTACACTGTCTGGACTATTGCAAGTGGGCACAACACACCCCCTTCATTTAGCACAAATAGGCGCACGAGATTAATTTCATTTTGTATGGGAGGTTGTATGTGAACTCGACCCATATCTGATTATGTCTCAAATTCTATGTTTAAATTTGATCTGAATTGGGATCAAAATCAATCATTTTTTAACAAATCAGACAAGATTAGTAAATGTTAATCAAATTAAAAACATTAACATGTAAAAATAACATGGTTGTAAGAACACAAATGACTAGGGATGGACCGGTTCCGGGCCGGCCGACCCGTGGACCGACTAGGCCCGACACTGTTTGGAGCCCGGCCCAGTGGCCCGGCCAGAGACCGGTCCGGGTAGGCCCGGCCCGGGGGTTACATAAGGCGGGCTCAGGTCAGCCAAATTAGGAACCACCGAACCGGCCGAGCCGGGCCTAGTTCAGGCCTTTTTTTTTCATTTTTTTTTGTTTTTCCCTGGTTGGGTTGGGTGTTTTTGGGGCGTGGGGTGAGGGGGGGTCGGGGGTTAATTAGAAAAGCAAAAAAATGAACCGGCCCGGACCCGGTGGATAACCGGGCCGGTTCCGGGCCTCAACTTTCCCCAAAAAAGCCCGGTCGGCCCGGCCCGAGGCCCGGCGTGGCCCGGGCCCGATCCATGCCTACATATGACAAGCATGATCTCATATTCTCATTTGCTCATTTTTAGGCTTATACTCTTCGCCCCTTATAATTAGGGGTGGACATATCAGTTTGGTTTAATCGAATCGAATTGTACAGAACCGAACTAAGCCGAATCGAAATCGGATCATATGCAATTTGATTTGAGTTTGGTGGTATTTCTTCCAAATCTTATTAAACCGAACCAAACTGGACCCGGTAAAACCGAACAAAATCTAACCGAACTAAAGAAATTACAAATCCAAATGGAACCAATCCAAACCAAATTAAACCGAAAAATAGTATGACTCGTTTTGAACCGAATCGAAACCGATAAAAATCAAACCAAAAATTGATTTGTCCACCCCTGTTATTACTTTGTTTTTTTTTTCCTTTCTTCGGTTTTTACACAAAAAAAAATTGTCGCCTCCTTTTTATGAAGAACTTGTTATTCCTTTCTTCAATATAAAATTCAACTATACAATTTTTATTTTAATATGAAAAAATTACACAAATATAACCACTTTAAACCTCACTATCAAAAATATGACTTCATGCCCTACATTACTCCCATGTTGTACAACGTGTTCCTTAGCATTAGTCAGTTTTTTGTGACTCCAAATAATATTGGTAATATTAATGTAAAAAACTCTTTTAATAGTTGTGAATGACAAAGTTTTAATCGAGAGAGGTGAAAATTTCCTACAAACTCTGTCTCACTTAACTTGGTCAAGTTGATAACTTGATATAGGGTGTGAAATTATAATAATAATAATAATTATGTAATTGAGATTTGTGCAAAGAAATGAAAAATGTCGAAATAAACAGAATCCTAAATTCACTATTTTAAAAAAGAAGTAATTACATTTTTTGAAACAAAAAAAAAATTAACAACATCCAGAGATCATCCCATTACATCTTTAGGGGGTGTTTGGAAATGATTCTGCTTCTGCTTCTTTTTTAAAGCAGAAGCAGATTCATAATCAGTTTTCAGAAGCTGTTACCTCCCAACTTCTGAAAAAACTGATTCTGAGAATAAATTAGGGACTATTTGTAGCTGCTTTTGCTTAAAAAAAAGCACACTTTTAGAGATGTAAGGAAAAAGTGATTAGTAGTAAAAGTTGATAGTGTTTGAGAAAAAAGTGATTTTGAAAAGTAAAAGTTGGTAGTGTTTGGTAAAATAAGTGTTTTTTGTGTAATAGAAAAGGGAAAAGCATTTTTCACACGCAAGCCGAGAAAAAGAAAAAATTGGTAGTGTTTGATAAAATAAGTGTTTTTTGTGTGATAGAAAAGAGAAAAGCACTTTTCACACGCAAGCCGAGAAAAAATAAAAATTAGTAGTGTTTGGTAAATACGGAGTGAGTGTTTTTTTAAACCAAAAGATGAGAAGTGTTTTTTTTAAGTTGTTGCAAACACTCCTTTAAGGAGTATTTGGGATTGCTTTAAAAAACTGCTTGTTAGCTTTTGGGTTAAAAAAAGTTGAAAAGAGTGTTTTCAAATGACAGCTTCTGCTTAAATTAATCACTTAAAAGCTAAAAGCTGGAAGCAGGTAGAAGGGTGCTTTAAACTGCTTCTCACTTTTTCTATTACACAAAAAGTACTTATTTTACCAAACACTACCAACTTTTACTTTTTCAGAATCACTTTTTTCTCAAACACTACCAACTTTTACTATTAATCATTTTTTCCAAAATCACTTTAAAAATCACTTTTTTAAAGTTGAAGCAATTGCAAACACTCCCTTAGGCTCTTTAAAGCAACAAAAGTGTTTCTGGAATTTCACCCAAACACTCATGTTTCCTTATTCGTGAGGAGCAGAATCAGTTTTGAAACATCCCTTTACATGTGAAAACTCAAAATGACAAAAAGAAGATTGACGCTGACATCGGACAAAATTGATACAGAGACGGTGCATCGGCCATAGCCCATTACCGTCGACTGGACCTGACTGCTCCCCCTTTTCACAGCGACTTTTCTTCGGCCGCCAAATCCTTCCAAATTGGTGACGGCAGCCGTGACAAAACAACCACCCGTTCCGTTCGCGGATGGTCAACACCCCCCGTCTGTCTCCCGTTTCCACATCGCAACCCCACGGCCCCTGCCTGCGGTCAGCCCAACCCCACGAGTCCACGAACCCTGCCTGTCTCGAACCGAACCGGTGAAATTTACCACGTGTGCATTACACCCTAATTTTGGTACTCTACTCTCAGTGGAAATCCGATTCTGACTCTTATAAATATGTCCTCTTCCATGCTCGATCCTCCATTTCTCATCCAAGTTCGGGTCAACCATAGCCGGCGTCCGAACAGGGGAAGCATAAGAAGAAGAAGAAAAAGAAGAACTGAACAAGAGAGTAGCGAATTCGAACTTCGAAGAGTGAAATTCAATACGCTATGGAGTTTTTACCTCCCGGATTCCGGTTCCACCCTACCGACGAGGAGCTGGTGGTGCACTATCTATGCCGGAAATGCGCGGCCCAGTCCGTCGCCGTTCCCATCATCGCCGAGATCGACCTCTACAAGTTCGACCCGTGGCAGCTTCCCGGTACCTTTTCAATTTCACCTCGATCTCTCTCTTTTTTCAATAAAGAAAGTGAATTTTAGTGAGATTCTTTTTACTGAAGTTAGTTTGTCGTTGGGATTTTGAATCATGCAGAGATGGCTTTGTACGGTGAAAAGGAGTGGTACTTCTTCTCTCCCAGGGATCGGAAGTACCCGAACGGTTCACGACCGAACCGGGCCGCCGGGACAGGGTACTGGAAGGCAACCGGAGCCGACAAGCCCGTCGGGAAACCGAAAACGTTGGGGATAAAGAAGGCGCTGGTTTTCTACGCCGGGAAAGCTCCGAGAGGAATAAAGACAAACTGGATTATGCATGAGTATAGGCTGGCCAACGTCGACCGCTCTCCAGCCTGCAAGAGAAACAATCTGAGGGTAATTCATTTAACTTTTTTTACTTTTTCTTATAGAGTGGCCCTCTTCAGGTTTAACTTTTTTTTTTACTTACGAAGGACTTGTATAATTGTATGTAATTAGAAAATTCTTCATTCTTTTTACCACCTTTTTCATCCTAAATTACCAAGTAGAGAAAAACAGGTCAGCTGTTTGAATTTACAAATAAAGCTTCTTTTTCCCTTACTTAATCTTATATTAATCAAGTCACACCAAATTAAAGAATTCAAACCGTATAAAAAAGACATCAGACCAAAGTCACCAAACCAAATATTTTATAATAATAAAAAGATCCACTAAAATTATTACTGAAAAAGTGATGGAAAACAATGTAACTCAGTAACTTCTAGTGATTATAATTGTATTCAAAGTTACTATGATATTGTGAATATGTCTTAAACTTTGAACGGAATATAATCACTGAAAGTTACTAATCACATTTTTGTTCATAACTTTTTTATTTCTAATATTTTAGAAGAAACTTATACTCCGTATTATTTATCAGATAAGAAAATATGATAAAAAACATTATATAGACTTGACAGAAAAAAGTTAGTTCAGACCAAATGAGATTAGAAACATTGATTCCAAATCAGGTTACATTTGCAAGACATTTCAAAGGGTAACACCATTTCTGAATTCTGATTGTGATTTGCGTGTATTGATTGGTAACAGCTTGATGACTGGGTACTGTGCCGAATATACAACAAGAAAGGAACTCTTGAGAATTACTCACACTATGGCGGTAGCGGTAGCAGTATGGACGAAAAGGAATTCCATTTCCCAGAAGCCGGGGAACGTAAGCCCAAAATAATAAGCCCTTTTAATGGGATGCCTAGGCAAGCAGGCATTCTACAGACGGGCTCAAGCTGCTGCTGCTCAGAGCAAATACAATCGTCATGTGACAAAGAGGTCCAGAGTGCCGCCCCTAAATGGGACGACAAAGACGACGTTAATGTCCAGCTACTCAACAACAGCTACTACAATATGGCGGATGATGATGCTCTGCCTCCAATGAACTTCCACTATCCTTTTGCCTCTCAAACGCCCCAGCAATATAATAATGACTCATTCAATCCTTTCCAGTCAGACATGTTTTTCATGCACAACAAGTCCACTTCCAACTTCTGCTTGTAGATACATTGGCTCCTCCCCCCAAATATCTTATTCACCAAACAAAATCAAGAAAAGTGCTAGTGTGCTAGTGTTTGCTATGATGGAGGGGTAGATTGTGTTGTACTTGGTTACTGGAAAATTTATTGTTTTAATGTATTAATGATCCCAAGTACTGTAAGTTGGGAAATTCTTCATGTAAATAAATGAAACAAAGAAGTAAACAACTTTCAGCTCCCATACTCTGTAACCTTGCATATATTTGTAAAGTTTACGCTCTAAACTAAATGAAGGTGCAACAATACTATCATTATATTTAGACTTTATTTAGTATGTTCCATCTTAGAAGGTCATCTGAGTATGCAAAAAGATAAACAATCTAATGACTTAAATGTGAGTTTACACTTTTGTACTTAAAACTGTAAAGTAGTTTCAAATATTCTACAGTCTACAGAAAAAACAAAAAAAAAAGGTTCACTTAAAACTGTGCTTACAAAATGTCATTGCTAATATATACACTCTAATGAAAGCCAAGAACGCCCCTTAAACAAGGTTCAGTATTATTCGTGTAGCATTACTGAGCTTATAACACCACCAACCCATTTGAATAATAGAACTCTGTGATCACCCACATCATACCTGCATCAATTATGAAAACATTGAAGGTCAGTTACTGAAAGATACTTTAAAACATATGTCATTTAGCAGCTAGTCTTTACGAGTTAAATTAGGATCAAGTAGGAAAAGAACGGTGAAGAATTGCAAATTATTTGAGTCATCCAGATGCATTATTTCTTTTACAACACTTAGTAATTTAACTGCATATATAGAAGCAAGATCCAGCTAATCCTCATATACAAGCAATGATGGTTTGATTACCAGCTAGTTACAATAGAATAGAATGCAATGAAACAAAAATTTAAAAAAAAAATGACCGTCTCCATCTCTCAATAACTTAGTTTGACTTTAACAGACATTGGCTATGCTTGGATATCAACGTGTTGAGCAAAAACGCTATGCCGATTTATTGAGGGTGAATATAACTGGTCTACAATGTTTTAACTTTGTTCACACTGTACAGCTACCATTTACAACAAAAGGTGGATATTTTTTTAAGATAACATATTAACTTGATAAGATTTATATAACCAAATCAGAAAAGAGGATATTATTTAGGGACTTCCTAAAATTTTCAAGAAGACTAAAGAGACAGTGTGAATAAAAAAAGATAGTTGTGCAATTAAATGGGCTAAAGCAAAATACGAATCAAATGGAGGTAGCAGGTAGTACCTGATGCAAAATCTTTGGGTTTGAAAAGGGTAGAAAACTGAAGATCAAGCGAGCTCTACATCCAAGAAAAACTCAGATAAAAAATTGTTTTGCATTTGCCAGAACGGATGCCTGCCACTGAATATCCTATGGAGGCACAAATACTAAAGTTCTTGATGTGTAGGTTGTTTCTGATATTGAGGGCTAAAGAGAAAATGGGTTAGCCTATTATTCACACCGCGCCTTTACTTTTACGTAATAAAAGGAACAATTGGAATAACAAACAATGTATACATAGAGCAAACCAAAGCACAAATGTTGAAGATAAAGTCAACTCTGGGCTTGGTTCATGCTTATTATTACTTATATACAATAGTATAAGTGTATAAATAATGCTGCACTTGCTATTTCACATATAAGAAATCATGTTCTCTATTTACATCTGAAAAGAGTTTGATCTTGATGGATTATCACACTTTGCAGCGGTCCATCCTATTGATTTCTTCTCATTGTCATAAATCACCATTTTATTTTGCATGGATATATCTGCACAAGAAGACAAAAATGCAACAAAAAGAAAGTATTAGGTTCATAATGAGATACTTGTATTATGCCACACCATCCATTATTACCTCCGATGATGTTAATATCTTGCAGGCCTGCTTCTGTACCATTGAGAACCCCCAAACAGACACTGCCTTTAGACTACACAGAAACACCAACAGTAAATGAGTTGAAAAAAATTAAAACTAAATTCGGAGTAATAAAAATATGGAACAGAAAATGTTAAAGAGATAAAGTTGAATCACTCACTGAGATGATAAGATATGATTCTGGGGATATCTCGAACAGAGATTTGGCCTTCCGTCCATTGGAAAAGCCTAGTGCAAAAGGTTTGAAGTATTGCTTGACATCCTGAACTGTTTTCAAAGGCTTCTTGCCCTTCCAGCATAGTGGGAGAGTGTCATCATCATCCACTTTTCTCAAAGGCTTGCCACTCAGTCCTTCTTCTATCTACATACAGAAATGAAATAACAGTCATATATAAATCAAACACTATAAAGAATAGGGGCAGATCACTTGTAAATAAGTAGAGACCAGCCAAAGGTATCAAATTAAATTTTGCACTATAAGATATATGTCAAGGACCCTTATGTGGGACAAATCTACAGCCACCGAAAGAGAGGGCTGCATGTGCCAGGTTGAACTGTTGAAGTAGTCCCCCAAGTATATGTCTAATAAGTTTCCTTATGTTAGTATTAGTCAGCCTATTATATTACTCCCTCCGTCCCACAAAGAAGTTCTCGGTTTGACCTACACACATATTTATGTAAGGTAGAGTTTTGTTTTGACTTTCCAAGTTTACCCTTACTTTATGTCAAATTAAGTAAAAAGTGGGTAAAGAGTAAGGGTAGTTGTGACTTTTGGGATAAAAGTGGTTTCCTTTTATAGAAATGAGAACTTCTTTTCGGGACATCTTTGCGGGACGGAGGGAGTATTAGTTTGTACTCTCTGTGTCCCATAATGTAAGATACATTTGGGTGTGGCGCGTTTTTTTAGAACAAAAGGATTAAGTTGCTGTTTTACATTTCTAGCCTCCAAAAGGTAAGACATAGTAGGACGGGTCCACAAAAAGTATAAGGTGAAATGATAGATAAAATGGATAAAAGGGGAAATAAAAAGTTAGTGGAGTATAATTTAGCAAAGTGATCATATTCTTTGGACAACCCAAAAAGGAAAGTGTACCTTACAAAATGGGACGGAAGGAGTAGCAGTTTAGATCTCTAAACTATTCTTGTTTTAGAACTCTTGTCTTTGCCTAAATAAGCCTTATTATTTGGACTAAATAAAATATCTTTGGAATATTAACTAATTGATATGCAAGGCAAAGCCTGTGGGTCACTTCATTGCCTTGGGCAAGAAGTTTGGTTCTTCCTCCAATAGATTCTTAATATACTATAGCCTTAAACTAAATACTATTATTATCATGAAACATTTTTCAAATATTATCAGAGAAGAACAAAATAAATAATCTAACTCACCAGAGAAATGAAAGCTAGGTATGCCTCAAAATGTAGATAACTATAAGAGCTCCCACTATCAAAAATTACAAGAAGATTTTTAACCCCTGTACTAATACCATCAAAACTCAGCTCTGCAACTCCTGGTGAGTAGTGGCTCCTGTCATGTTACATCAGTAGAAAATTCATCCATCAGAATTAATTCAAAGTATATACTAGTAGATACTACCTCCGTCCCAAAAAGGCTTGCCATATTGACTTTTCTTGGTCAATGTTAGCAAACTTTGGACAATGATTTTAGTAATTATATTTGTACATAATTTATACTGCGTATATTTAATACTTTTATGGAAATATTTTGAATAAGAAACATTTTGATATAATTTTCATATTCATAATAATTTGATATTAAAAAATATTGTTGGTCAAAGTGTATTTCCATTGACCAAGAAAAGTCAATTTAGCAAACCTTTTTGGGATGGAGGGAGTATAATAGAGGGTGTGTATGTGTGTTTCATGCCCATCCCCCCCCCCCCCCCCCACTGCCTGTATGATTAGATGACATTAGTACTTGTAATCATGCAACATTGGAGTCCAAACTACTTCTGAAGCATCATAGACTTGATCGCCAAAGAAGAGATACCCTCCTTGCCCACCCAAACAATGGCCAACAACATTTCGCACCAGACCCATTTTCCTAAGCTGTGAAAGAATGCTTGTTGGCCCTTTTCCCAGTCCAAGTACGCCATCTACTGGATGGTGAGAGTGACCAATTACCTGATCGTATCCACATCTATAGCAACAAAAAATATTTATTTTTCGTCAAATGAAATACGAAAAGTAATTTACAGGTAAATATATGAAAGGAAACATTTCCCAACATCAAAAGCTTCTCTGAAAAAACAATGTAAATATCTACAAAAAAACAATCTACAACAGATATGTCCAATAAAAATATTTCCAGCTTGTTTTCTACATTTCATTTCCAAGATATGTTGGACAAGAATGGACATAAAGATAACTTCCCAGAGTGAAACATATATTACGCATTTGTCTCACATATCTTCCCAATTGCTGTTAATAATTGTTGGGAGCATTTAATATTTCTTCAGAACTGTAAGAAACTACTTAGTGTAAATTAATAGACTAACAAATTATATCTATCATAAACTAGGTGTATTTGAATTTTGAACCAGAGTTTTGGTAGAGAAACTACAAATTAATGTCTTTTTCAGTAAAATATTATATATTCTCAAATGTGAAATTGCAATACAGGCTCTTTTCCCTGGTTTCTAGTATTTTCTATTCATAGTATCAGTTTATCCATGCTCATAATCCACTAAACTACATAGTTTAAAAGGCCCTTTTTTAGGCTCGCCTCAGTGTGATGTGGTGGAAAAGGTCTTCCAGATTAAGCCTCGAGCGAATGAACTGATGCTAAAGCCTCAGATGATTAAGGACTTAGCTTTGAGGTGTTTTGTGAAGCTTAAGTCTTATGTATGTACACTTCAATGTTAAGTTTTTTCGTATGGTGATAGTTTTTTAATAAAATTCAAACTGGACTTATTATTCCCCAATAACTAGCCGCTGAGACCATAAAAAACCCTAACATATACTACGTATATTGTTAAAATCAACAATTATCATTTATCATCAATTCATCACACAACTCCACTTATAAAGTTCACATAACCGACAAGTCCACAACTACTCTACACTCCTGCCGAATTGCAAACTATTCTTGCAAAGGTATATTGAGCTACTATCCCTATTCTTATTTTCTCTTAATTTCAGAGGCACAGCTATTTTATTATTTGAAAAAATAACCGCACAAATAACACAACTTTTCTAATCTTTCTTTACTTTAAATGGCTCCAGAATATCAGAATTTTAAAGCTCCCGCCATTTCTTCTATGTTTTTCTCATTTAAAAACTTTTTCTGATTATTTAGGCCAAAAAAAATTAAACTCTTTCCTCTAGAGGTTTAAACTAATGATAGGGGTGTGTGACACTTAATAATGATTCACTCTTATGTATCATGTATGATTGATAATACTCCCTCCGTCTCAATAAATTCTACCAACTTTGAGTTGGCTAGCATATTTAGGAAGTGGAATAAAGTGGAAATGTATGGTTGTGGTTGTGTAAGAAAAAGGTGAAATGAATGTGAGCCACACAAATTATCCAAAAAGGGGAAGTTGGAAGAATTTTTTGGGACGGCCCAAAAAGGAAAGTTGGAAGAATTTTAAGGGACGGACGGAGTATGTTTTAAATTGTTAGTAATTTTAAAATTTTAAACTGGTAATGAAGTTAAGCATAAGGTTTGAGGCTTACGCCTCGAACCGCCTCAAGGCTTATGCCTTGCCCACCAAACTGCAATACGCCTCAAGGCTTAAAAGCACCAGAAACATTCACCACAGATCATTACATCAGTTAGCAGAAAACACTTTTAACTTTACAGAGGAATGAAGATCATTTAACACAAAAATGGAGTAACATGTCAAGGAAAAAATACTAACCCAATAACTAGCCTAGGATCAATCTCAACCCCACTGGTGAGGCTGAGAGAGAAAACGTCAGTAAGAAGGACACCAAGAGTAGAACCCCCATCTGCATACTGAACCTCATAATCACATTGTTCTAGAGTCTCACAGTTCTGTTCACCCGACTGCAATGAGGCACAAAGAGGGTCCTTACAGCCAATAAGTTCAGTATTGGGCTTGTATAGTGGGTGAGGTGTCTGCAATGACATACACAATTAGAAATAAAACATGAAAAAAAAACTATTGGGAAGCAGAGACAGGGTATTGAGGAATAATAATAATTATCAGATAATTTCTGACTAAGGATGTTGTAAAAAGTGTTACCTTCGTGCAGCGACTACAGGGAGCATCACACTGAAGCCACGTGAGGTCACTGCCAGTGTCAGGATCAAGAAAGTAGGGCTTTGGCGGCTTCCCTATATTGACTTGGGTAAAATAAAAACTGCAAATAATACTAAATACACAATTAGCTTACTAGCCAATCTGGGGGGAAGTACATTATATTTGCTAGAATGGTCTTTCTACAATACTGTTAATCCTTTTCTTTTTTACTTATGGCACTTGATAATCAGTGATATCTTTTAGTTCTGTCCAAGAACTAGTCTACGTAATAAAAATGAAATATCATCAAGGTATAGTATCATTCTTATATGCAACAATAATCTACAGGCATTATCAGCAATCTTATAAGGTTCTTCCACCAATAGCACAGCTCAAAATATACGAATTGATGAAGTGAAGAGTTGCATACCCATAGGGATAAACATTGCCGTGAAGTGGGAGTACTATGGAAGAAGTGCGCATAGATTTGACCGCCGACGGTGAAGAAAAGACTCGTCTGGAATCTAGCTTCCACCATTTCTCCGCCGCCGATGTAACAGAAAGCACCGCAAAAATCATCAGCGCCACCAGCTTCATCCCCCCCATAACTCTCCCTATCCCCCCAGTCAGCCTTGACAACCACCGATCAAGTGTTATGCAAGTAAAACATTCAAAACTGCAACTCTGATAACTACCCTTCAAGATTGATTCTTCTCGAAATGTCCTACCCCGGAAGAGCTTGTCTGGATCTTCTTCTTTGGGTCTGGAAAATCGATAGGATTCTTGGGAGGCGTTGCAATAATTTCTTCGTGTAGTCTGATCTTTCCCTTCCACATTCCCTCCATTAAATACAGGTCAACGACAGGGAGACGGAGTCAAGAGTTCAAAAATTACAGATTGCGGGCAATAATTAATCTACAAAGTACTTAACATAGTTAGGGTGTGTTTGCAACAGCTTCTACTTTTAAAAAAGTGCTTTTTTTAATGAAATGAGGAGAAGTGATTAAATAAAAGTTGATAGTGTTTGAGAAAAAAGTGATTTTGAAAAGTAAAAGTGGGTAGTGTTTGATAAAATAAGTGCTTTTTGTGTAATAGAAAAAGTAAAAGCACTTTTGACGCGGAAGCCGAGAAAAATAAAAGTTGTAGTGTTTGAGAAAATAAGTGATTTTTTAAAGCCAAAAACTGAGAAGTGCTTTTTTAAAAGCAGTTGCAAACCAACCCTTACTCGGCATAGGTTGGATATTAGTGAGTTAAGGAGTGTTTTGGATTGTTTCTAAATAAGTGATTTTTTAAAGTAAAATTGGAGGGAAAAAATAATACTCTTCCAGTCCCATTAGACTTTGACAATTTTCCTTTTTTGGTTGTCCGAAAAAACTTTGTCACTTACCTATTAAAACAACTAATTTGTGGTTCTGCACATTTCTCTCAGCCACACAATTTTTACCATTCTTATTTCTCACCTACTTTGCACTTGGCAAAGTCTACCGGAACAGAGGTAGTAGTAAAAGTTGATAGTGTTTGAGAAAAAACTGTTTTTGAAAAAATAAAAGTTAGTAGTATTTGATTAAATAGGTGTCTTTATACAATAGAAACAGTGAAAAACAATTTAAACACTCATCAAAATGCTTTCAGGTTTTAGCTTTTAAGTGCTTAATTTAAGTAAAAGTTGTCACTTGAAAATTCCAGTCAACCTTTTGAAAACTAAAAGTGAAAATCATTTTTTTAAGTTTTTGCAAACACACTCATAGTCCTACTCAGTAAAATAAGGTAGACAATTACGTGCACGAGTAGCTCAGTTTGTTGAGTGGTGATAAAGTTGGAATAGATCAAGGATCAAAACTCGCAACGACCATGTGGAGGTTACAGCTCCTTTGTGCTGAAATGGACTTTTGCTGCACACGGGTACAATGTCTACCACCATTAGACCGACTAAATCACTATGACTCACAACATCCCAAATGTCTTCTCGAGCCGTGGTGTGAGGGCCTTGGGGTTGGGGGACTCAACCTATTGGAAATTTGGAGCAAGGTAGAGAATTAAACTATGTTCAAGTTAATGTTTTTTTGTAAGATATGGAGATTAGACATTTCTCTCCATATGTTTTTCGTTTAAACGGACCAACATTACTTTCAAAACAAGTGTAATAATAAAAGTATTGTGATTCTTCTTGATGTATGCTATATTTAATTAGGGTGGTTCGGTACGGTATACCGAAGATTTTATCTCATACCTTTATCATACCGTAAACTTTCGGTATGCAAAAATATATACCGTTACCATACCTAAATTTCGGTATACCTTGTTTCGGTATGCCAAAATTTCGATACGGTAAGCTACGGTATCGGTAAATTATCATGATTTAATATCAAATTATTATATATCAAATGAAATATAGAAAAACAGTGTTAGTAGTGATATACTAAAATTATTAATGAAATTAATTATAAAATACCACTGATAACCTATTTGTGTTCTATTCAACTTTGAACCAAAAAATATTATAAATATGCACGAATACTTCAACACATGATATATGAAGATAACAACACTTTCTGCTAAAATAATAATTTAAACAACATAAATATATTTGAAATAACATCGATCTCCAACAAAAAGTATAAATAATTCAAGAAACATGGATATAAAGTCATTATCCTTTAATTAATGTTGTGTTTCTAGTTATTTTTATAATTTTAAAGAAATTATTGGCTTGGAATTACGGTATGACGGTATAAACGGTATACCGTTTATTTCCAAAATATATACCGATACCATACCGAAATAATTCGGTATGGTATCATACCGTACCAAAAGTGTCGGTATACCAAACATTTCGGTAAATTCGGTATTTTTCGATATGGTAAGTCCGGTATACCGAAATTTCGGTATTTTTCCCCACCCCTATTTTAATACTCGTATTCATTACATTTTTGTCAATTATTATGCTTATACGATGTTACCATATTAAGGCTTTGATGGAGTATATGGCCCAGGAACCCCCGGCCCATAGACTCCTACTTCTCCTACACAAGTCCATTGAGCTCAGGAAACAACTCAGGCCCAAATACAACGGCCCAAGCCTCAAAGTGGCCCAGAATACACACTGGGGGTGCCTTCGGCCTCCTTGGCCGAAGGCCCCAAAACTCACAGGATAAGCCTTCTTTGGCACAAGAAGCTGCCGGGAGAAAACGGGTGAAAACATTAGCCTGCGGCACTATGGAGCCCTCGGCACCAGGGGAAGCCCTCGGCTGAACCAAGCCTTCGGCTACACATCGAGCCTTCGTCCATACATGAAGCCCTCGGCTACACAAGGAGCCCTCGGCTGCACAAGGAGCTCTCGGCTACACAAGTAGCCTTCAGCTGAACTAGCTCAATCATCGAAGATTCCTTTTAGAGACAGCCAACCACCGCATTTAATGCCACGTCACATCCGCCAACCGCAATCAATGCGGTGGACGTACCACTGCCGGTGCCAACCGGCTGATGTGACCCCTCGGCCGTTGGATTACTGACACGTGTCCCCTCATCGCATTTATTGCTGCTATAAATAGCAGCCCATTCCTCCTTGTAAATCAGAATCTACATCTCAACTCCACATCTCGAGTTCATTTAATAAAATCGACTCTCTCTCCTCCTATTTGCTCTGACTTCTCTCTAAGTTATTCCCGTAATAACCCCTCGGATAAGATACCCCCCGGGTAGACTATCCATCATTTTGGTGCTCTCGTTGAGAGGTCTGAACTATCAAGTAAGAAACCCTCCCCCTCTACCAAATACAAAACACTTACCAAAAAATGGGAAGAACCACTCGTGCCCAATCCAAAACTCTGGAGGAGAACCACGTCGCCCCCGGCGAAACCAACGGGGCTGAGGCCTCCAACAGGCTCTTGGTACCCGAGGGTGGTATCATCCTCGAATTGGAGCAGGCTACTGCTGACCTCCGGCATCAGCTACAGAAGAACGCCCCTGATGCCCGCATGGGCCTTGATAATCGAAGGAGGGATCGGAGTGAGAACCAAGTTCCCCCTCCGGCCCCGGCCATCGATCTTCAGGCTGCCTTTGCGGCCTTTGTTCAGAACATGGCTCTCAATTCCGGAGCCCTCGCCTCTCAGGCACCCCTCCAGCCCTACGCTGGAGGAAATGTTATTCAATTACCACCACTCCCCCCTCTGTTCAACAATCCTCCCCCGGGGGTTGGAAACGCCGAAGGGGTCGTGGCGCAGGACACCGCCTCCCAGGAGGCCCAATCCAGGGATAAACGTCCCTTGATGAAGGAGAAACCCCGGACCTCTGCACTTGAGAGGTTGGGGGAGCTCCCATACGCCGAGGGGTCCAAGACCGCCTCGACAAACAGGAGTTCAGCAGGCCTCAGGAGAGTGGAGCCTCCGCTTCGGGAGCCGAGGGCATACCTCCGCCCCGGAGCAAGGGCAAAGCCATCCTCCATGCCGATGACGTCAGACACCAGATCAATCAGGCGCAATCCTTCCGGGCCAACTCCCAAGGGGTTGCTCCGAAGGATCCCAAGGACGAAATCATTGAAGCCCTCCTCCGTCAACTCGAGGAGAATCGTCAGGCACCCCCGACGGCTTCCACAGCGAGGCCAGATCCAGAGTACGCTGACCTCCGGGCGCAAGTGGAGGAAATGAAGCGTAAGCTCGCCGAAGGTTCAGGCGAGCCCCTCATTCAACTCCGCACTAGAACCCCCTTCACCCCAAGGGTGTTGGCGGCCAAAATCCCCCATAAATACCGGGGGCAACCCATCAAGCCGTATGAGGGGAAGACGGATCCCCAAGAGCATTATAGCCGCTATCAAAATAGCATGATGATGATGGGGGCATCGGATGAATACTTATGCCGTTGGTTCCTTTCCACCTTGGAAGGACCCGCGTATGAGTGGTTCAACCGGTTGCCCGAAGGCAGCATTGATTCTTGGCAAGAACTTGCCCACCGCTTCCTTACACAATTCGCGGGAAGGCACCGCTCAAAGAAACACTTCTCCCACCTCCTAAACGTGAGACAACAGAAGGAGGAAACCCTTCGGAATTTCCTAGAACGCTGGAGGCAGGCCTCCCTCGAAGTCGAAGGCGCTGATGACAGGACACTAATGGCCCTCTTCCACACCGTCCTCCGCAACGGTAACTTCTCCCGGAGCCTTATCACTGATCCTCCCCGCGATTATACAAAGGCCCTTCAGCGGGGGGACCGATATGCTGAAGCAGAGGAGATCGAAAAGGACCGCCGCAACACGGATCCTTCTCAGAAGAATGAGGGCAGGAATCGGCCCGGAGGACCTCCCCCTCCGGCCAACCGCGAGGCTCAATACAATGATCGCCCCCGGGGTGGCCAAGCCAGAACCGGGGGTGGTTACAAAAACAATCCGAAGGCATGGGCGCAACCCGTCCTCCTTGAGCACCCACGCACTCCCTTGACGCATCCCGTCAGCGTCATTCTTGATCATGCAGAAGAACGGGGGCTCGTTGAGCGAGACTCCCGTACACCCCTCGAGATCTATGCTATCGGCCCTGATGAGCCATATTGCCGCTTTCACCGCCACCATGGACACAAAACCGACGACTGTCATCAGCTGAAGAACGCCATCGAGAGGCTGATACAGGCGGGCCACTTGTCTCAATTTATCAGGGGTCCTCCTCCCCAGGGCCCCCTTCATCATCAAGGGCCTCCGCCGAAGGCAAATAAATGGGTAAACCCCAACACCATCCCCTTGGGAAACCCACAGGGGAAGAAGCGCGAGATTGGGGGCCTCGAAGATGAGGGGGAAGGCTCCCATCAACAATACAAGCGCCACGTCCACATGATTAATGGTGGCAACACTAGTGGAGACTCCACCAGCCAGCG